TACCTGTTGCTGCTGCTGTCTGCTGCTGCAGGCGGACGTTGCTGCGAGCGCCGCTGGAGCTACTGCTGCAGCAGCAGCAGCAGCAGCAGATGCTGCTGCCGCTGCAGGCGGCAGCAGGGGAGCTGCAGGGTTTCCGGAGGAGCAGCAGCAGCAGCAGCAGCAGCAGCCAGCAGAAGTAGCGCTGGAGAAGGCCCAAGAATTCGCCGAGGTGCTTTGCTGCTTCTGTTGCTGCGTTCGCTGCTGCTGCTGCTGCTGCTGCTGCTACAGTTGCTGCTGCTGTTGTTGTTGTTGCTGCTGCTGCTGCTGCTGCTGCTGCTTGANTGCTGCTGCTGCTACAGTTGCTGCTGCTGTTGTTGTTGTTGCTGCTGCTGCTGCTGCTGCTGCTGCTTGAGCAGCTGTGATAAGCGAAAAGGCAACACACTGTGGAACAGCAACAGCAGCAACAGCAGCAACAGCATCACCAGCAGCAGGACCTGGTTGTGCTGCAGCTCTTCATCGTTGTGTATAGTTTTGCTGCTGCTGTGGTGCTGCTGTGCTGCTGCTGCTGCAGGTAGCTCACAGCCAGCGGCTGCTGCTGCTGCGGCTGACGGCCTTGGATCTGCGGGCTTTGTTGCAGCTGCCGCCAGCAGAGTGTCTCGCCCCCCTCTCTTTCAGGTTTGTTTACACACAACCTTGCTGCTGCTGCTGCTGCTGCTGCTGCTGCTGTTGCTGGGGTTGCTGCTGCTGCTTCTCGCGCTGCTGCAGTTGCTGCGCCTCCTCCTGGTCCTGCTGCTGTAGCGGCTCTTGTTGCTGCAGCAGCAGCAAACTAGGCCTGAGCGTTTCATGCAGCAGCAGCAGCAGCAGCAGCAGCAATAGCAGCAGCAACAGCAGCAGCAACAGCAGCAGCAGCAAAAGCAACAGCAGCAGCAACACGCCTTATGCACCGAACCCGTAGGCATCAATTGACGTTGCAGCAGCTGCTGCAGAAGTAGGCTTACAAACCATTACTGCTGCTGCTGCTGCTGCTGCTGCTGCTGCTGCTGCAGGAGCCGTCTGCTGCAGTACCTGGAGCTGCTGCACTTTGACCTGCAGGCGGAGCCGCCGCGGCTGCCTCCTGCTGCTGTTCGTCTTGCTGCTGCACCAGCAACGCCTATGCTGCACCATCAGTATCAGCAGCAGCACCAGCAGATGCAGCAGCAGCTGCATGCTGCTGCTGCTGCTGCTGCAAGCAGACCGCAGATGCTCACAAATACTGCTGCAGCAGGGGCTGTTGCTGCTGC